TTCCATGAGCTGCACCCAGTGCTTGCATTGCAGGCCCAAAGGGTTTAAATCCCAGACGACTTCTCCCACCTTGGCCGCTTGCACAAAAGTTTAATGCGCTTTTGACCTTTAAAGTCCCCTGTGTTACCTGGGACCTTCCCCCCAGCCTCCAAGAAGCGAGCTCTGACCGTCCTCCTGCACTCGGTTTGGAGGGAGCTTCCAAGGGCGTTTAAGCCCTTCTCCCACAGCCCCTCCCCTCACACCTAGCTCCCAGAAAGGGCTTGTGAAAACTCCCCTCAGCAACTGCTCTTCAGGAAACTGGTAGCTAGGTGGCCAGAGAGCAGCGCATCCAGCAGAGTCGACTAGTCGCTTCTCCCCTGCTTTGCTGCCTCTATCAGAAAGAGGCAGCGGGGTGGGGGTGAGAGGCATTCTGCGTGCAGACTGGGGACACCCTAACTGGCCCCGGGCTGCACGCAGCTTTTCAAAGCGGCAGCGCCACACGGAGCTCAGGGTCATCGCGGGACTCCCCAGCTGATCCCAGGCTCCACCCGGCGCTTTCTCCTTTGAAGTGTACTAGGGCTGTTGCTACTCTTCAAAGGCGGAGATGCCCTATCAACTATTTTGCATCGACTATTTGATTAGTCAGTTACTCGCAGTTTAACATCCCTAGTGGGGACCTGGATGTTCTGTTTACACGGCTCCACTACCCACAGTTCCGTTCCTGAGGGACAGGTTTGGTGCCGCCTCTGATAAAGGGTCTGAAGTCATGCCAATGAGATGACCCAAAGCTTAATCTGAACTGTCTGCAGAAGTGGCTGCGCGTTGTTTCTTGTCCCAGAGCGGCTTCTGTAGCTGAATGGAGGTTCAGTACAATGTTCTCAACCTTTTTTTTATGAAATACCCCTTTAAAAAAACAATTTATAAGTACCCCCAGTACCTACAGTTTTCAGACACACAAAATTTGTTCCTACCATTGCAACCCATTTGTTTAAACAACTTAATTGTAGCCGGGCGGGCGGGCGATGACATTTTTGGGTGTAAAAAGTACAAAAATAATAAAGCGCTGTAAAGCTTAAAACAAAAATGCAGTTTTCTCCAAACTTCAGTTGTGTGGACATATCCCCCTGACTTCTCTCAAGTACTGGTTGAGAAACACTGCTCTAGAGGGCTGAGAAACGCTTGTCTAGAAAATAATAAGGAAGTAGGAAATCGGGAGGACAAAGGAGATTTGGGCTTTAGGTGAAGTAATGCTTCGTTTCACTGTCCTATGCAAGCTTATGCAGCGTAGCCAGTAGATATATAGGCCATGGTCTCTATACCCAGCTCAAACACTGACCTGCAGGAAGACATGGGGCATGTCCTTTCCTCTCCCACCCTCCGTCTCTTTGACTGGCAAGTTCTGCAAAGGGGCCTTGACCTGCCAGCTACTGTCATGTTAAAACCCAGAATGCAAATGACGCTTTATTCTGTCGTATGTCACGTCTTCCCCTCCCTCTTCTTGCCATAAAAGGATGCTCCGTAGTGGGGGTGAGGTGGGTAAAATGACAGGTGAGGGTGGTGTGTTGGTGTCTCAGAGGTCTCCTCCTCCCAGTGGGAGGGAAGAATCCACTCAGGATGCTCTGAAGTCAAGCTGTTTATTGTTTGCCGTCTCACCCAGGCTGTCCAAATGCTTTGGAAATACTCCTGAAACCAACATGAATAGAATGAGCATTTCTGTCTCCTGATTTTTATTGGTGTTTGCAGGGTATGCAGATGAATTGCTTTAGAAAAACACATTAGCAAAGCAAAAGTTTATTCTAGGAAGTAGGAGGTGGGAGAATTGGCAGTAATTCTCCCTAGTATCCAAGGTATTATTAGAGGCTTATCCCTGCTCTGCACAGTAATCACATTGGAAATTTTTGATTAGAAAACAAAATCTAAATGAGAATTATGAATATTCATTAGGTGTAGAGATTAATATGCATAATTATGCAAATTAGACAGCAATTAAACACCAATTCTCTGGGGAAATGATTAACACAAAGGCACAGAAATAGAAGGATGTAATTTGAAAGAAGTTTCTGGTTAAATGAACAGTAAGGGGAGCGGAGGAGACAAATATGGCGTGTTTGCCATAATAATCAGCTTTGCTCAAATGAAATTGGTGCAAGGACCAAGAGTGTTTCAGCACCCCATGGCCACCCCCATGCCAGCACGCTCCCCCTCTCCCCATCGCTCTGCAGTATAACGTACAGACGCTAGGGCCAAAGGGTATGTAAGACCTTATTTTATACAGACAAACAATGCAAGGCTTTCGATTTGTTTTAAACGCTGGCTTGTAACTTGTGCTCCAAGAGCTGAGAGTAACTGACTGTGGTAAAGTGGTGATAGAAATGTAGCCGTCTTAGTCAACAAGATGGTTTTTTAGGTGATGAGCTTTCGTGGGCCAGACCCACTTCCTCAGATCCTTTGTGGAAGAAAATTGTCACAACCATTAGCTCACAGACATTTACCTCCCCCCCCGCCCCCATCCCCCTTCTGTTCTGAAATTTGATTTGTCCTTTTCATATGTGTTCATTTTTTTTTAATTGTATGCTTTGGTATATATGGTTGTGACTATTTTCTTCCACTATTTGATCTGAGGAAGTGGGTCTGGCCCACGAAAGCTCATCATCTAATAAACCATCTTGTTAGTCTTTAAAGTGCTACATTGTCCTGCCTGTGGTAAGAATCTCACCCTGAGCCCTGCTGGAGTTTCACATGGCATAAGCAACGGACTTGCCCAGTGCCAGCTTGATGAGATGTCGAGGACTCATGGTCCTATGCGGGATTCTGTCGGACGCACCGAGGATTTGCTACACTCAACAGTAAAGCACGCTCAAGGCCTATGCCAGAGAGAGGGTGGTGTGAGGATAGGCCAGGCCTAGACGTCCCCCTGTAATGCAAAACATTTCCACCCTTCACACCTTCAGTTTTATATCAGCTCAGGGCTAGGAAGCTGCTATTTTGTGAGGCATGGGATGACTGTGTTTTGCTACCTTTCTTGACTAGCTGGGGTGCATACTGCAGCTCGGAGCTGGGAATGCAAACAGTCTGGAGCTGGCTTTTTGCCTCTTAAGCCGTTTCCCCCATCGCCTCTTAAATGAATGTGAATTTTTAGTGTCGATACCTGTTTAAATGCTGACCTTTGTTCGGTCAAGTGCAAAGTTTGAAACAGTGAAAATGGAGTTGAGTGAGTCTAATCATGTAAAAAGCTGATGATTTAGGGAAAACATTGCCGTCTGAGTGCAGTGGCTGTCGGTGAGGAGTGCAATTGTTTTGAAGTGTGTACTTGTGTCAGGAATGCATTTTTTATATATAAACACATATTGAGAGAGAACACCACAGTTGCTGTGAACAATTCTAGGTAGTATTTTAAATGTGTACGCTGCTAGATTTTCAAAGAAAATTATGGGCATTGAGAAGCACAAGTTTTTTGAGTCAATGTGATTAGTGCTCCTAAATCTCTTAAGTGAAAAATCCCCCACCCCATGCCAACTCCCATTGAAATTCAGTGTAATTTGGGCACCTCCATGAGTTAACTACTTTGAAAATCTCAGCCCTGCAGTTGCGAAGACTACGAATTGACCCAGTACCATATGGAATACGTATTGCCTTGTTAAAGATGCAGACCTTTGGACAAAGGTAGAGGCATTGTATATCTCTCTCTAGCTGACTTTCAAAGCCCTGGAGTTAGCTGCCTGTCTTAAAACTAAATGGGGACCCCACCCATTCCAAGATATCCACCTTTCTAAACTAACCAGTGGTCTTCCAGCCAAGTGAACCAGCACAAGCCTCCATCTAAATGAAAAGTGGCCTCTACCTTGTGATGTTTTGTGGGTTTACAGACATGTCCCTTTCAGCAGCGTTCTTGAAGTGTGAGCCTTAAATCATGCCTAGCGTTGACCATAGTTGGCGTTAACCTGCTGGAGCAGTAGATCTGTGTGGCCAATAAAGTCTACTGAAGAGCCTTGCCTCTACAGGAAAGGGAGGGGTGTGTGAGATTTTTATATATATATATATATTATAATCTCAAAGGTGTGGATTTAAGCCACTATGGTTACACTGGGAATAGGAATGCCCTCAGTGGGGTTCTAACTTGGATTCAAACTACTTTGTCACTTGGCAGAGGTTATAGCAAAACTGAAAGTCTCTTGTGAGCACAAGCAAGAGGCAAAATGCCTGTGGCATAACTGTTAAAACTTCCTTATGTGGAGACATGATAGTTTATTACCTACAGAGTTGCCGGTCAGTCATGTTTGCTGTTCATCTTTTGGAGAGGGTCTCAGAGGGGAAGGGGTGGGACTTTGCCTGGCAAATGTTCTGAGCAAGTTTTTTTTTGTGTTCAGGTGCAGCTCATGGGCCAGGGATGCAGAATTATGGGGTGAAAGTAAAGTTTGCATTTTCATTCCTGTTTAGGGAGCGGGAGGCGGTGTCTAGGACAGGGAACACCAGCCCCTCCCGTTATGGTCTCCTTTAGGCTGGGCAAATCGAGGTGACATGTGCTGAAGTCAGTAGTGTTACTCCTAGACCTGCCAGGTGTAAATGGGAGCAGAATGTAGTGAGCAAACCGTTTCAAGTGCAGTTGTTCAGTTGCTGTGTTCCGTTCTTGCATTGACATAAATTGGATCACCTGAGAGTAAGGGGGCACCTGCCTTTCAGACTGACAAACGTGGTCCTCTGCATGTTGAACTTCAGGAAGTGCAGATTTACAAGCGACCTCTTGAGTTAAAAAAGCTCTTCCCTTTCCCACCACCATCCCCGGGTCTGTAACATCACATGTATACAAACGACGTAGGGCTCTTTTTGAAGCTCGCTAAATAAGCTTTCATCTCTGCTGAAATGGGGAGGTTCCGGGAGACGGTTGAGCACAACGAATGGAAATGGTTTATTAATGAAAATATTATTCTGTTTGTAGAGGGAAGAGTTAATTTTGAGAGGACACCTTTGAGGGTTTGCTGATAAAGCAAAAGTAACATTTATTCTTCCTGTTTTTTTGGCAGGTTTGGATGAAAGACCAGGATCAGGTTCCTGGGGTGCGGGAGATCAAAACAGCTCCACATTCGACCAAGGAAGGGTAAGGATGAAGCATAAACAGAGACCTTGAACAAAAATAAACAGTCTTTATGATGGTTTCTCAGTGTGTGTCTGTGCCTAGTCGGTTTTCTTCTGCAAACATTTTTCCTGTCATTTTTGTGATCGCATCTCTCTTAACCCCCTGTGCAGTGGTGCTTGGGGAAAGTTGCTCTCTATTATGGGGTTTTGCTATCAATGTATGGCCCTGCCTGCCTGGGCAAATGTGGCAGCTTTCTTGCAAACCTTCTGCTTGCTTGAAGTGTGTAGAATGCAGCCGGGTATGGTATAGGCTTGGCTTGGTCAGACAACCATGCACTTCCGCCCCCATGGCTGGACTTGCATGCCTCCAACTTAATGCAGTAGTTCCTGGTGGATGGGTGTCAGCGTGGCTGCATGTCAAGCATTTTTAGCCAAGCATGTAGCCCGGATTCCAACAATTGTACCTGGCGTGTATTGGGCACTCCAGCTTGCTCGCCTGCGTCTCCTACCCTCCTCATGTGATGGAGGAGAGAGGCTGCAATCGGAATGTAGGAATGCAGCACCTAATACAGTGGCTAAACTTGGCGGCTGATTGTGCCAGGAGTCTGCCCTGACTTCCCCAATCCTCAGAACCTCGGGGAAGCCTGGCTCTGGAACCAGGCTCTCCGGTCAGGCTGGGGATGGGAGCTGCTTCTCTAACCACTACCGGATGGATTTGAGCCTGGATCTCTCGAGCTTAATGTAGGAGCTGCTACAGCTTGAGCTACAAAGCCGGTTTGCTCCCAGCTTAGGCTGTAGAGCTCCCGTGTTCTTATCTCTCACTGTACGTGGTCTGTGCCACTGCATGGGACCGTGAACCCCACTAGGTGTGTGGGTGACACTCCCTCCCCATTAAGGCTCTTCTGCCAGAACACATTGACCATCCGTATCCCCCTCCCATCTTGATCAGTCCCCCCAAGGGGTGAGCGCTCCTCCCAGAGGTCGCGGAGGTGCCTTTGTAAGAGAGCGGCTTAGAGGGTTCCAGCTCTGCAGGTTGGCATGGCGTGTGGGGTGGGAATGGAAAGCAACGGGAGGGAGGCGGGAGGAAGAGAATTGGAAGTGTTTGCAGGGGAGGAATTGAGGCTGTGACAGCGTGTAAGTGAGGCCTGAGGAGGGGAAGAGAGAAAAGACATTAACTTAATTGAAATGGTGTTTTTTTGACAGATGCTCATGTTTTAATGGCTTTATGTGATTCGTTTTCACAATGGCACCGTTCCCTTCCCTTAGGTCAGCGACTGAACAGGCACCACGTCGTTTCTCATTTTTATAGACCCTCCCCCTCCCTCGCCCCTTATGGCTTTGGGGAGGGGTGGGCGGGGTGAACGGGATGGCCCGTTCAAGCCGGAGGAATTGCTCACCCGGTGGCTGCCGAGCGCCGGGTTCCTTCAGGACGGGTGCCATTTGGGTGTGAGCTGCCAGGGTAGAGGAGTGTTTGTCTCGCTGCAGGGAGCTGCTTTTGTGGCTCTTCTCCAGCCGAGCTTGCTGCCCTGGGAGCGTTCCGGGTGCCTTTCAGCAGCAACGTCCTGCTGCCCCCAGGTGCTGAGGAGAAGGGAGTTGGAGAAGCCAACGCATTGCTGTCCTCCTCCTTCCTCCGTGGCTGTGGGGGTGGATGTGACACTGAGTCCTCTTGTGGTCTGGCATTTGGATCCCCATGTCACTCTCAAGTGCTGACACCTCCACACAATGGACGGAGGAAGGGGATGTAGTTAGAAATCCAGAGCCAAACATTGTCATGTGGGTCCTTCGTTCTATTTAAACCAAGTTGCATAAAAGAATCGGATCTGGATTGTCTTAAGCAGGCTTCCAGGTATGATACGACCCGGGGAGTTGGGTGTTTTTGATGGAGACATGCAAGCTGGAGGAATGCCCACTGGCCAAGTATTTCCCCAGGAGTTCTCTCCTCTTCATTCACAAGAACGGCCAGACTGGGTCAGACCAAAGGTCCAGCTAGCCCAGTGTCCTGTCTGCCCACAGTGGCCAATGCCCGGTGCCCCAGATGGAGTGAACGGAACGGTACCCATCAATCAAATCATCTTTCCCCCGTTGCCCATCCCCAGCTCTGGCAAACAGCTGTTGTCGGACCTCGCCTTGCTGAATTTATCTTGCTTTTTTGAACCCTGTTAAAGTCACTCACCCACTTCAGATAAAATAAGATGTGATCTCGTATGTATGACTTCCTGTTCTGTGTTACTTTAGCAGGGCTATGGCGAAGGTGCCCATTATGGAGAACACAGGGACCTGTCGTCTCACAGCGGCCTATCTTCACCCCCATTCCTGGGATCTGGACTCGTAGGTAAGTACTGCCTGCGGTGCTGCTGGGCAGGGCGGCTGGTCCTGTGTAACGCAGGGGACTTGAAAAACCCAACAATGTGGTTAACCAACATGGTTTGCACAGACCATAATAATCCACCCAAATGTCTGTTGTCCAAGCTGTGGCTGTAGAGCTGTTCAGGAGCTCGGCCAATATTTTATGGATGCACAAGGGCCTTTGTGTCATACGACGGTGGTATCAATCTATCACAGTCTCATGTAGAACCCCCTCCGAGATAACAGCCGTGTTGTGCTGGTGCTGCACAGACACACAGGGAGGCCAGGAAGGGAAAGCAGATGGGATTTGCCCAAGGTCAAAGAGCCAGAAACAGAGCCCCATTTTTCAGAGTCCCTTCGACCAAGCGGGTGGGTTGTAGGAGTGAGAATACACGGGCATGGGGTCTGATAGGGAGGAGGTAAGTGCACATCTGGAGTGGTACAGCTGTGTTAGACAATGAGATAAGACTTCCTGAGAGAGCTGGTAGCTGTTTTCTGTCCTCCTGCCACCCGGACATTTTTCCTAGTGTGGCTCGGAAGATCTTCCTTTCACATCCATTTCCACTGTGTGCTTACAGTAACCAGCCTAAGGTCTTGTGCTTTGCACGAAGGCTGTTGTGCGGCCTCGTAGTGCTTGTGTGTGGAAGAGGCTGGTTTTGTTCCCAGTCTCTCTTGAGACCTGTCCAGAGTGCAGGATGCTCCAAGAGCCTGGAAGGAAGGAAGTGCCATGTATATTGCTCAACACGGGCTCCGGCGTCTTCCAAGGGGCATGGATATCTGACCTGGATGTTCTCCTCCTGCTGGGATACCACGGTATCAAGACCCTTCCCCCACCCCTGCGTGTTGCTGTGCACATTGCTGGGAGGGAAGCTTATTTTGCTGTAAGGAGCTTTTCCCCACGGAGGTCCTGTCTGGCAGGTGTGACGTGTGTTCCTGTGCGCTGCAGCCATTGGGTTGCCAAACAGCGGAAAAGATGGGAGACTAGCCAGTCTGCCCTGCCCTATGGGGCAGCTGCTCTGCAGTCCTCTGACCTGGCCCCTTCAGCCTTCCTATGGCGGGCGAGGTCCCCTCTCTCCTTCTCCTGCTCTGTCTTCAGAGTAGCCAGGAGACTCACCGAATTCTGCTGGGGACTTGCCGAGAGAGAGTGTCCAGTTCTCCCCGCGTGGTCCTCTGACTGTCTGGGTCAGATGGGACTCGGGACCACACTTCTTTCAGCTCCTTGCTCCTGCTGCCAAGCCAGCCCATGCGCACTGCCCTCTTTCCCCAGAGACGGTGACTAGCGCACAACCGGGTAAGAAGGATGCGTGACAATTTTTCCCCTTGCCTCTTCGGTCTCGGGATTAAGAGCAGAAAATATTCATCCTGAAGGGCTTAGAGAGTTTGTAATTACATTGGGCAAGGAATCCAGGTTAATGGTCCCCTCCTTTCGCTTAGCAGTGGTGGTTAAAGCCCTCTCATGAACATGACCAGGGTGTCTGCAGAGGCAAGTCTGGGAGTGGGAGAAGAAGGCTGTTACCAACAGTGGCCTTTAGTGAAGGGGGTGGGAGGGGATGATTATTAAAGAAAATCTCTGCTAAAGTCGGTAGTTCCTCCTTCTCTAGAGCGGGGTAGAAAGAGGAAGAGATGGACCTAATAGATCTAGGAAGCAAGTGTTGGCCAGTTTCCTCCTTGCGCGCGGTGTGTGATGGAAGAGGGAAGCTGTCAGATCCAGACCACCAGAGACTGGCTGGACACTGATGGTTATTTCCCACCGTGGTTAAAAGGGGAACTTTTGAGTTAAGTCTCCAGGGTCCCATCCAGAGGAGGAAATGAGGAGTGCCCAGGGGGAGCTGTTTCCTAGTTGGATCAGGCTCCTGGCTTTCTGTCCTGGAGGATGTAATAAAAGCAGAGGTGGTTTCTTAAGGAAAATAAGAGAGTCCTCATGACATTTTTCAGGTTTGAGGAAAGAAAACTACCTTTATGTCCAAGAGACCAACTTGGCTGCAAGGATTGCCATTGGCTAAAGGCAACTTAATGATTAAGATTTCTCATGGAGCAGGTGAATAGGAGCTGCCTTGAGGAAGAATGAGAAGCTTTCAGCCACAGATGTTTGCAGCTCTGAGATGTTTTGCTCAAAACCAGGCTTACTGTTAACGACCGAACTCCAGGCGTTTTGCAAGAACATCAGATATTCCCGTGGCTCCACTGCAAACCTGGTCAACCTCCTACATTCATGAATAGTGATAGAAATGTAGCCGTGTTAGTCTGGGGTAGCTGAAGCAAAATGCAGGTCAATGTAGCACTTTAAAGACTAACAAGATGGTTTATTAGATGATGAGCTTTCGTGGGCCAGACCCACTATTTGATCTGAGGAAGTGGGTCTGGCCCACGAAAGCTCATCATCTAATAAACCATCTTGTTAGTCTTTAAAGTGCTACATTGACCTGCATTTTGCTTCAGCTACACATTCATGTTATTGTGCCCTCTGCCGCCTCGGCTGATGGAGTCTCCGTTGGCTGTCGCTAGCACTAAAAGTATACGTTCCCTCAGAATGTCTGTCGGTCTGTCTGACCCTCAGAACCCTACAGACTCCTTAGACCCAGTGAGAGGTCGTTGATGGAAACCACAGAACTCCTTGAGGTCTGTGGCTTGATACAAGTCTCCCAATACAGTCAAAAGATCTAATCTTCCAGGAGCATCAGATGCTGGAAACTGCAGGCAGAGGCTGTGTCACCAGAGGGAAGAATTGATGGGGAGGGGGAAGAAGTGGATTTAGAAAGGGAGGAGAAAAATCTGAAACTACAAAATTTATGTTCATTCCCAAAGTGGATTATTTTTTTTAAAAACCGTGAATTGCTTTTTAAAAAAAAATTAAATTGGGTTTTTTGCCACTACATGTGATAAGACGAAGGGTGGCGGGCCTGGGTCACGTTTTTTCACTTGTTAATTCCTGTCCCAAAAAAGTTCTAAAAAGTTGGTGGCAAAAATTAAGGTAGGGGAGGAAAGATGAGAAAAATGTCATGTGTGTGAATGGGGGAGGGGACTGAATATCATTTATTCTATTGCATTCAGCAGCAGGAAGGTTTTTAAAAAAACAGATTTGAAATCTAAATTGTCCATATTCTGGCTTCAGTGCAAACTGGAAAGCTTTTTACGAAGTAAATAAAAACACAATCCCAGCAAACTAAAAAGAACAGCTCAAAGTTTTTTGAAAAAGTTTCCAGTTTGGAAAAAACAGTATTTGGTTGTTTGGTTTGTTTTTTGTGAATGTGATGGGGGCAGAGGGGAGAGAGTTAGAATGAAAAATGCACCAGCCCTACTAACAACATGGATGGGCAAAAGATGAAAGGCTGTCTCTAGGATGATGCAAGCAATGCGTGAAGAGAAGGATGTGAGATCACCCTTCTAATTGGCCATCTTCCAAGCCTTGCAGAGCCCTCTGGCACACCTGGAGGAAATAAAAAGATGGCAAGAGACTCTTTTCAACAGGAGCTAATTCTGGGCCTGAGTGGGATGGGTAGAGGGGTCTAGGCTGAGGAGGATGCACAAAAGATCTTCCAAATTCTGGTTTCTGACATCCCTCAGAACTCGTGGAGTTTGGGCAACTAGCAGCTGTTGGTTTGCCTGGCATATGGTATAGGGCAGCCCTGTGCCGTGGACAAATGGATCCAAGAAGTGGTTACTTGTACTGTTTTTCTCCTGGTGAATGCAGCTCCGCAGGTTCCAAACATGTCCACTCAAGCTTCTGAAAGAGGGGCCAACCATTCTGCGTGTGTCAGTTGGAGACGGGATGCTGTCAAGCCAGTGCTGCTTTAAGAAATAAAAAGATCTGAAGTTTTCCATCACCTGCACCAAAGACAAATGGAGAGGCAAGAGGCCCCTTGACACTGAACGTGTTCGGCAGGCTAATCACCCTGTAGGAATTCAGGACTGGGGAATCCCATCAGCTTGAGCATCAGGAAAGGTCGCGTTTGGGCTGTAGAGCCAGGGGGTCCAGAAAATTCCTTTAATTTATGCACCTGCCTCGACAGAATTGTCCATGTTGGCATCTGCATGCAAATGGGTGCAGCCGTGAATTCCTCACTTGGAATGGTGGCAGGTTTGCCCATTCCACAGACCTGGAGGGCAGTCTGTCTTGAGCTGGTTCCTGGGGGGGGAAGCCGCCAGATGCGGCTCCAGTGTCCTAGCAGGCAGTCACTGCCGTCCCATGAGCTCACGTCTAAACTTACAGGAGAGCGGGTGAACCCTAACAAGGGAAGTCGTGGTGTTGGAGGAACACTAGACACCAGCTGCAGAAAAGGGTGTTTTTTCCCATCAGGTATTGGGTTTTGTGAGGCTTTGTTCTGCGGCTCCAGCGATACCTATGGCAGTGGCATGCAGCTCTATGGGGCTATGCATCTCAATTGTCCCCAGGCCTCTTCAAGTGAGTGCTGCTGTCAAGCTGTTCTTCGTGAGTAGGGATGTGAGGAGAGCGGCTCAGATGCTGCAGAATGGAATGGCCACTTGAGTGGAGGAAGGAGGGTGCTACCCGACAGCGTATCAGGGCACGTCAATCCAAGGTTCTCGCCGTCGTGTTCCACTACCACGGCTGGCATGGAAAGTGACCCAGGAGGATTTGCCTGCATGTTATGGATGCTGTTAATGGGAAGTGATTGCTCACAGAAATCATGCAGCACACGCGTGTTTGGAAGAACACATGGTTTTTGAAATCCTCGTTGGAAGGCTGTAAGGTGACTGCACACGGCTGCTTTTTCGGGGGAGAGGTTGCACGAATCGTAGTTGGTGCTGGAAGCGTTGGCTTCATGTCAGCGGAGGGAATTTAGCCTGCTACAGCCAGGGCGGATGACAGGAATGTACTAGTGGGACAGGACAGGATGCTACGTGGGACTGTCGGCGGGGGCCCGTGCTGAACAAACCCACATTTCTTACCATTGCTTCGTGTTCCCTGAGCCCTCTGCGTGACCAGGCTTATGCAGGCAGTCGCCACGCCCAAACAGCTCCACTTCA